GGACGTAGGTACTGTAGGTAGTAAGGATTTAAGGATTGATTATTATTAACTTTACCTACCAGTTAGGGCTCGTTGAAAGTCTTCATCATTTAAATCAATTATATACTTGGTACTATTTTCAGCGTCTTCCAATTGTAGTTTGGGCATATTTACGTAATATTTATCAAGTTGGTGGGAAATAGTGATGGGTAGCCGGGAAATTTCCACGGGAAATTTCCACTGGGAACGGGAAAATTCCCGGGAATTTCCCCAAATCCGAATTCTCGGGAAAAAAACGGGAATTTCTCTAGAAATAGCAGAATTCATACAATTTCGTAATATTATATGCAGTTTTTTAAATCTGACAACACTGTTGACTATTACTCTTTGTTTATACCTTTAGACATGTCAGGACTTGTAGTCGCGTCTGGCTAACTGCTGACTCAGCTCAGTAGGTATTATAAAAATTGTAGGTGTTAGTTGTGCATTATTGTCTCTAAACTAAAATGAACAACCGAAAGAAATCGTTAAAAAGAGTTATGGACAACTTTACTCCGTTACTTAAAGGAACTAAAACGAGTTTTAAATGCAATCATTGCAATTTGTTGTATACAGTGAAAAATATAACAAAAATGACTAAGCACATTTTAAATAAATGTAGTAAATGCCCGAGTGAAATTAGAAGCGGTTTAAAGAAGGGGCTTAATAAATCTGAAAGTGCCAAAACTGCTAGTGTTGTCCATGTCAGTCCGATTAGATCAACCCCTACTGCAACATCAGATGTTTCGAATATTACATGTACAACCACACCCACCGTTGCAACATCCATTACATCATCTAAGTCAAGTCGGTCAAGGTCAAGAGACATTTCAACATTTTTTTGATCATATGAGTGCTTCTGAGAAGGTAAAATTATTTTACTATTATAATCGTTTGGTTTTGTAGTTGTTTTGTATTATATATTGATAGTATATTTTTAAAAATCAACATTAAGACAAGTAGTCAAGGGATCTTTATTTTAATAATTATGGCACTGAAAATAAGTAATATCAAGATTTTTTACTTCATGCTTTATAGTATGGAATGGAATGAGACTAATGTATTGGTGTCTGAGAAAAATATTTTTAACTAAGGCACAACATATTTTTCTTTGCAGGCCAAAGCTAACAACCTACTAGCAAAAGCAATATTTGCATCAGGAAGCCCTCTCTCCATAGTAAAACATCAATTTTGAAAAGATTTTTTACATTTCTTACGCCCCTCTTATGCTCTTGCTCTTCCAACAAGAAAAACATTGTCAACTACATTATTGGATTCTCATTATGAAGAAGTCAAGAATGATGTAGAAATGACTATTGCTGAATCTGGCCATTTAGCTTTGCAGTTAGATGGATGGTCGAATATAAGGTCAGAAGGCATCATTAATTTTGTTATAACAACAGCAGAGCAAAAAACGTTTTACATCAAAAGTTTGGAGACAAAAGAACATCGCCATACTTCAGAATATATTGCTACAGAAACTGTGAATGAACTTAATCAGTATAACCCTAATAAGTGTATAGCTATCATAACTGATAACGCAGCTAATATGAAAAAGGCTACAGCTTCTATTCGCGAGATTTTTCCACATATTTCAAGCATTGGCTGTTTGGCACATACATTGCACCTGATTATTATGGACTTATTAAAATTTCCAGCAATGATGTCCTTCTTAAATAAAATAAAAGATATAATTAAATGTATAAAACACTCCTAAGTGTTAAATAGTATTTTTGATGGAATTAGAAAAGCAAAAAAGTGCACCAAGAATTTGGTTTTACCAGTTACTACCCGTTGGGGTTCCCACTTGTTTTGCTTACAATCGATGGCTGTTTGTAAAGAAAGTTTGCAAACTTTGGCTGTGAATGAAGAGGCTGGTAATATATTGGGCCGCGATAAAAAACAAACGCTTTTGGATGACGAAATTTTCTGGGTGCGTATAGAAAGTACCAAAGCTCTTGTGGAGCCAGTAGTCAACTGGATTTTAAAGTTAGAAAGCAACGAAGATACAATACATCTATGTTTCAAAGCATTCAGTGAAATTCAAGAAAGCTTAGCGAAAAACTTACCACTCTCAGTATTACAGAAAAATGAGGGAAAAAATTTTATGGATAAATATTTGGAAAGAAAATCTTATGCGCTTACATCTATCCATAAAGCCTCTTGTCTATTAGATCCAAAGGCGCAAGGTTGTTACTTAAGTTCTGAAGAACAACTCGATGCCATTGAATACATAGTTAGCTTCGCAAGAAGTTCACATTTCTCTGATGATACCATTTCTCCAATAATTGATCATGAACAGTTGCTTGTTGAAATTGCCAATTATAGAGCGTACGAAGGTATGTGGGCGAAAGATTTCATTTGGACTGCTTCACAGAATGTAACACCTGTCGTTTGGTGGAAGGGAATCATAGGACAGAACAATCAGCTATCAAAAGTGGCAGTAAAAATTCTACTTCAGCTTCGACTGAGTGAACTTTTACCACATTTTCTGCAGTTCACACAAAGAAAAGGAACAAGCTAACAACTTCGCGTGCAATAAAATTAACGTACATCGCCCATTACTGGCGAACGCGTAACAAAGCAAAGACAGCTGTATGGGATGTACCACTTGACAAAAACGAGTGTCCGTCTACTTCCAGTTTGACTCAAGTAACTGAAAGTGTTCAGCATTTTAACATGATAGTGCCGGAAGCAGAGATACCTGGACCTTCAGGCCTTTCAAAATTACCAATAAATTTTGAGCCGGAGACGGAGACAGAAACTTCTTCGGAGGACGAAGAAATTCCTTATCAAGACTCTGATTCTGATGAGGAAAACGTGACCGATGAGGTTAATAGCTCAGGAACTGAGGTTTAGTTTTGTTTTTACATACTTTCATAATACTCAACAGTTTTATATTCTACTAGGCAGATATTTTATTTGTGTTTTTTTTTTTTAGTTAAAGGATATATTTTTTAAATGTGTTACCAAAGAAAACTTTTTTTAGAGTTAATTTTTTATTTGTGTTGTTATAGTAAGAAGATATATTTTTTAATTTGTTGCCAAAGAAAATGTGCTGTTTTCAATAAAAAATTGATATTTTAATTTAATTTTTATCTTGATAGTGTCTGCGTAATGAATAGATGGAATGGAAAATAAGCTGAAATTCACAAAAATGTATCGGGAATTCTTGGGGAAATTCCCGGGAAAATTTCCCGGGAATTTCCCGAACACTTGGTTCCCGGAAATTTACCCATCACTAGTGGGAAATAGGTATATAAATTCGGAATAATTTCACCTATTTATTTTGTTAATCCAGGAAAATCATAAACATAAACAGATGATTGCCAACATTTCCAACGCGCAAGTCCGGCAACTTTCATTCATGTCTTCGAGGTGGACGTGATGGCAAGTCGCCCGACGATTATTTTTGTCAAACTGAACGCTGGCAAATTCCACTCGACGTCAAAAGTGAATGATATTCGGCGCGTCCGACGTCGTTCGACGTTCAAAGTGAACGCACCCAAGTTTTTGAATAACTTCGAAAACTGATTTTACATGCCCTGTTTAATTAAGTCAGTCTCTGGTACCTCAAGCTATCTGTTACGAGTTCAGACAAATAAAAGAAAATGAGAAAATTTAATACATTTAATAAAAAGAATGCAGTGTTTGTTACACATTAAATTAACGATTAATAACTAATGAATTTTTGAATGAACTTGAATGTTAATAAAAATTGTTTCTTTGTTTCGACCATATGGCATTACACAGCGGTACTTCCCTGTTAAATCGTCTCCTGGGTAGATGAAGTCTATTCGATACTAATTGGAGGAGCTATGTCGAGACTTGGAGGTATGTCGAGACTTGGAAATATGTCCAGACTTGGTGCTACATAGAGCTACTTCAAAACTACTTGGAGCTATTTTAAAACTACTTCGAAACTGGGAGCTTGGAGACTACTTGAGGCTACTTCGACATTACTTGGAGCTACTTCGAAACCAGGAAGCTTGGAGTTTATTTGAAATCACTTGGAGTACGTCGAAAATTGCTTGGAGCTACGTGAAGCTATGTGAAAACTTGGGGCTTGGAGCTTGAAGCCACTGACAATTATCCCAATGGTAGCACAATATGGAAAGACACAAGATAACTACGGAAATCTACTCAACAACAAACCCTCTGACAATTTTAAAATGTTAACTTCTAAATTTCACTACCATTGGCGTCACAACTCTAAGGCCGTTACTAATAATGTATTGACGCCAACGATACAGGACGGAAACATGTCATCAAAGGTCATATGACAGTATCATGATATGAATTCAAACCATATATATGCAACCAGTATATCGCCAAATCATAATCCACTTTTGACACAAACATGCTCCTCGTTGCGGCACTACTGATCATGCGCATTGACTCGTTTTCAGACGATGCTACGTCATTAAACAAGGCTGGATTTATTTTAAATGTTGAAATTATTTTTTGCTTAAATAATTCGAAGTTCTGATTTTCTCAAACTTATGTTATGTTCAGCACCGATTCATTTTAAGATAGTATCTTTCTAATGTCTTTTTGGGTTGACTGTTACGTATATTTGGGATGACTGTAATTTATATTTCGGATGACTGTAATGTATATTTCGGTTGACTTTTTCATTATATGAATATATTTTAATTAGATCGCAGTTCTGGAGATTCTGGGGGTGGCCATACCAACTCATCCTCCTAATATTTCAACATAGTTTGACTCTAGTACTGCCAATACCTTATTAAATTATTTTCCTAAGTTAGCATACTAATTGGACCATCTGCCTAGCCTTGCATAATATTTTTTTATATATTAACACAGAAAGGGATAGAAACATGAAAGTATGTAAGAAAACTATTTTGGAAAAAAAACATATTTGTCATCTTCTCAAAAATATTAGTTTTAAATGGAATCCATCTATTAAAGATAACTTATCTTTGATTCATTGAATAAAATCTTATCAGTTCCTAGAAAAAGAAAAACTGGGTATAAATTAATGTAATTGCACTATTAGATCCAAATAAATCTTTGAAAATGAAGATACATATTGCTTTTATTTTAGTTTTTCTTCTTTATTACATCCATAGTGTAAAGAGTAAGTCAAATTTTTGCAAAATTATAAAATTAAATTTACAATTTTTATAAAAATGTATCTCTGTTTATTAAATCATTAAAGGGTGTACTAAATTGGTAATACATTCTTTAAACAATCATACAATTTTTTTTTCTGAATCTATCATCTTTTAAAGGTTTGAAATGTTACACATGTTCCTGCACAGAAGACGATGCAGACACTTCCTGTTTGGATAATTTGGGTGCAAAAGAGGGCGACATAACAGATTGTGACAAAAAATACTGTATTCTTGTTAGAATTGATTACAAGGTAAGTACATTTTCGATAAAGCTGAGTAGAATCATTAAACACAGTTTAATAAAACACTCCTATTTTTAACTCCCACAGCCTTGTGTCCCAGCTGCCAGCTTTTAAATATTTTTCCCACTAATGATTTTTGATTTATTATTTAAATCTTTTTTAGAAAGTATATCTTTGATTTTCTTAAAAAAAATACAGATTTAAATCATTTTCAAATTCAAATGACTTTTAACGATTCAAATTATTTTTAACGATTTAATTAATTTTTAATGATTTAAATCATTTTTAATATAGTGTGATGAAATAAAAAAATGTTTTTTTAAGCACAATGCTGTTTTCTCTTACACCGTGTTCCTAATACGGCCACAGCAGATGATCGAGATCAAACTATTGTAGCTCTCTAAAGCCCACAGCTAACGTAATTTCTTATGGAATATTATAACAGTTTGATCTGTAGTAAACAAAAAAATTTCCAAAATCATGCTATGCAAATGAACTTAATTTTATTTAATTATTTTTCATAAAAGATTTAAATAATGGATTTTTGAGACTTAAATCACAATCTACTGATTTAAATAAAAAAAACATATTTAAAACGCACCAATACATATTTTAATTTTCTATGATTATGATCTATTTTAATTATTCACAATGTTATTTAAATATCCAAAATGATTTTTGATTTAAAACGTTTTACTTTCCTGTCTGTATACAGATAAGGAAAGTATAGGAATCATGATTTTTTCGACCTCGAGTTTTTGACGATTTTTACGTTTTGGAGTCCCCTGAATCCGTTTTGACTATTTTCTCGATGTCTGTTTGTGTCTCTGTATACTCGATAACTCATGAACGGATACACATAAAAACATCAAATTTTAAACTAAGCTTTATTCCAGCCTGCGGTGAACTGATTAAATGTTGGACAGAGTCGGAATATTTTATAGGGAACAGTTTTTATATTTTATGGAATATATGTTATTTACGTTTGGAGAAGAAAATTCTTTAAATAAAAGTTACTTCTTATATTATTATGGTCCGTATTCGAGAAATTTGACAAAATGTAAAAATTCAAATTTGACGAATAAAAGTTATTTGTGATATCATCCTCTATAATTCTTGTCCTATAACACCGAACATAAACAAGACAAGAAGGATCATTCTAAGCTCCTCTTCCAATATTACTTGTCTCGCTCACTCTCTGATGCCACTCTTCCTTGATATATTTTGGCCAATTTCAGTATTTGGGTGCGGGCTGTGACGGAACTATTATACAGGTGGTGGTCGTAAGTATCGAGTGGGAACATTGCGGATCGGATATACCAGTGTGTTTGATAATTAAACAAACAATAATTATTGTGGTTGATTGGTGACATTATTTCCATAGTATTATTCCTGAATATTTAAATATAACAGCTATGTTAATAAGTATTGTGTGCGAATTTTGTATCTTAAACACATAAAAATACCGGTTATATATTATGTAGATGGCTGCAACAATAAACAAAAAATGGGAAGATCATTTTTTCATTGCCCGAAAGAGAAAGATAGGTAAGATAGTTTACAATAACTACCTTGTTTATTAACTTACAGTCGCAGATTCGGTTTCGATAAAATTTTAATGATTGTGAAAATTGAAAACGTGCGTTAGGGTTTGTACCCATAAATATGCCAATTTATCTCCCGAACAATTTTGAGGAAAACATCAAATTATAAATTTAGGCTTTAATCCTGCGGCAAAATGATTAAATTTTGGACATAGTCGGAAAATCTGGGGGTACTTTATCTTTATAGAAGATCGTTTTTCTACATTATGGAATATAACTGTTATTTACGCTTGGAGAAATTTCTTTAAACAAAAGTTGCTTGTAATGTTATTCTCTATAATTTTTGTCATATACCTATTCTTTTTAAAATGGTCTGTATTCGAGAAATTTGATGATTTCTCTAAAATGGATCGTAATGGAAAATGTAAAATTTTAATTTTTTATTATTTTCGTTGGCAATGAATATATATAAAAAAATGTTTCGTGTAAAATTTATGTGGAAAATGTATATACAGGGTGTCCCGAAATTAGACGGTCATATTTTAACAGCGTAATCTACATCCTAAAATAGCAATAAAAGTTCATATAAACGTAGGTCCGAAAACGTTTCGTTTTCGAGATACAGGGTGTTACAAGTGAAGTCTAGATCGCATATTTTTGTAAATATTTTTTAAAATTTCTTTAGTGACCGGTTTTTCCAAAGTAAAAAAATAACATTTCTGATTTCACAGGCCTACTAATTATTCTTTACATTTTCGAATAACTTATCATGAAGTTTTAAAATGCCATTTTCTTGAAAATGGTGCGTCCTAGCCAGATGCAACAAAAGTAACTTTATTGTAAAGAAAATATTGGATTTCCAAATTTTATAGTTAAAAATGGTAAAAACTGTCAACAAAAAAAACTTAGGGCAATTTTACCCTGAGCCCCTCCTAATTTACTAACCTATGAAGATGATCAAAAACTGGCGTTTAGTCCATTAGATAGAGCGTAAAAAGGTTAGCATTTATACTAAATTACACTTAGTTATCTTTAAACGTTTAGAAAATATTTACAAAAGAGTGTTATCAGGACTTCACTTTAAACACCCTGTATCTCGGAAAAGAAACGTTTTCGGACCTATGTTTATATTAACGTTTACTCCTATTTTAGGATGTAGATTATGCTGTTAAAATATGACCGTCTAATTTCGGGACACCCTGTATTTAGTTCACCCTCCAAACATTTACAGGTTATAGAAATAATAATAAAAAAATATTGATTATTAATGTTACAAATGGCAAATAGCCATCGACCTAGGTCCTTCAGCCAATTAGGTTGTACAAAATCACCGGAAAAATCCTGTAATAAATAACTAGACGAGAAAGTCATGTGTTGGACATATCAGATTTTTTTATAGGGAAAAGTATTTTTTATTTAAATTGTTTAGTAAAAGGTAAAGCAGAGATAAGGGAGATATAATATTTCATTTAAATCTTTTCTTTTATGATTGGTGGCAGCTCTGTTTCCCCTTTTATAAATAGTAGTAAATACAATAAAAATAATTGAAATAACGATTTTGTCATTATAGGACCCCAGAGGTAAACTGCAATCTATTTCAAGAAATTGTGTCGACAAACCAGCCTATATACATGAAGTAATCGAAGACGAAACACACATAGGATACTTCACAGCCTGCAAAAGTGATCTTTGTAATGACGGTAATGGTCATATAAACTCTTCTAGTGGTGAAACAGGAGTTTTCGGCGATAAATAAACATCTATTGTCCAGGTTCTGGTTTAAATGATGCCGTAGTTGCTACAGTATTTTTATTTGTTAATCTATTTGTTATGGTTATGTTGTATTTTATAAGATAATCTTTGTTCTGTAAAATGTATTAATAAAAATTTGTATTTACATACTTTAACGTGTATTTTTAGGCTGTCTTTTATAAAGAAATAAATTGTATTCAAATTACATTATGTTTCAAAAATAATGAACATTTAGATCAAATTGTAAAAGTATGAAATTATTAACATTTTCAACCTTAAAATGAGATGAACAAGGTTTAATAGGAAGGCAGAGATTGATGTTGCTCATCGTGCATGAGAATCTTTATCTGATGTATGTAGTGGACCCAGCAGAAGTCAGTCATATCTATATGTATGTAGAGGGCTGAACAAAAGTGTAAGTAGTATCCATCCTGTCTTGGGTGATAGGGGTCTCCCTCTGTTATGAAGAAACATTACTATTTCATGAATGGAAAGGTGCAAATATGAAATTTTACCAATAATAACTCTCAACATCTTCAAAAAAAAAGAATAAAAAAGTGGACCTCGAAAGAAACGACACAAAATGTATTCACTACGTTATATACAAACAGTAGATTTGTAGCAGGACAAAGAGACAGCGGCGGTTTCTCCATTGGTTCATTTGTGTAGTAAACACCTAGTTACATTTAATAAAAACACATTGTTTTAAAATAATAACATAAAAATATTAATTCAATTTTAATAATTTTATTGTTTTTATACGTGTTAATATCTATTTTTGGGTACGCCACTGCGCTCGTGAAGCGCTTTTATAAGTGAGCCCGCGGGAGTCAGAGGCGTTCTTAAAAATCTTTAGCTAAAAAGAGATGTCACACGATAATAGATCCCTGAAATGTAGTGAAACAATTATAAAACAACTTAAATCAGCCTAATTTGCGCAACGAACACCGTGACGTCACAAAGTAGGCCATAACAATCTTTCAAATCATAGATATAGAGAAGCAATGATAGTACTAAACGTCTCACTTTTGTATTACTCTTTTACGACATATGTCAAACTCGAGCTAGCGTGATTTAAATGATACAAAAATATTTTCATTTCGTCAATCTACAAATATAAAATTATTAACTTAAAATTATTCAAAATATGACGCAAAGTGCCTCCACTTGTCATATCACAAAATAGTCTTTATTTCGTTATCTACCTACTTCATATTCTATCTTCACAACGTTTAAAATCAAGCTGTCAAATTCTAAAAATCAACATGAGACAATTTTAATTGTGAATTGTATTAAAAACAGGTAAGAAAGGGTAGAGGTAACTGGATGGAAGGAGTAGGGAGATGTTCTGGGCCGGACTAAAATATTTGTATTGTAGTATCTTATTTTGGTACGTAACTAAAAGATGAAAAATTATGAGACGTTTTTTTGACTTTATTTGTTAGCACGATTCATTTATGATGAGGGCAATAACACTTTATCAATATATAGTTAAGGGCTGATTCCACCGTTGTGTCAAACGAAGTTTAAATTACTAAACGAAGATTAAAATGACATTGTTAATGTGAAAATGTCATTTTAATCTTCGTTTAGTATTTTAAACTTCGTTTAAAAAAAGGGCGAAATCGACCCTAAGTAAAAGTTTATAAAATTATTGTAACAAAATAGCTGTTGAGCCAAAAAGTTATCGAAACAGCCAAAGTACTTTTTGCTCGAATTACACACAAGATTTTTTCTACGATTACACCTAAATAAAATAAATAATTAAATTTTATTAGAAATGGGTTACCGTTTCGTTCCTTATAATATTTTAAGTTTATTTGACATAAGCCTACTCTTCGAAGAGAAAAAATGTTTTGATACTTATGTACTGGTAATTATTTATGATTTAATTATTTACGGAAAATACCGTTCAATGATTTAAAATATTAGGAAGTCAATTAGTAGCTATTTATATGCAACCAGTTACGAAATGCCTTGTTTTGTGTAACGAGTAAATATTTGCGGGACGAGCGGAGTGAGGTCTCACAAAATGAACGAGTTACACAAAATAGCATTTCGTAACTTGTTTACATACAAGATTTTTTCTAATTTTGACTATTATTTACAAAATTGTGTTGAAAAATGATTCACCATCATTCTTTTGTAGGTACTTACAAATAAATATTTTAGAAAATTGTTGTATTTCATTGCCCTACGTCGTTATTTTTTTTTTTTTTTTTTAATAGTAATAAAAGTCTTACCGATCTGATTTTTGACATTACCCGCGAGAAATTTGAAAAAAAAAATGTTTTTACCCATTATCCTTAAAGGAGTAAAAATTTTACCCCCAACATTTCTGGGCAGTTTTCATAACGGTGTTCAATTATTTAAAAAATAAAACGCAATTTACAGCTTTTTTTGTTTTCTTTTTTGTAGTTAAACGTAATGTCATATTTTCAAATATAAAATGTCACTGTTCATTGCCTTTTTTCGATATTTGGTTTTTTCGATTTTTCGTTTTTCGGATTTTTGGATTTTTCGATTTTTTATTTTTCGATTTTTACATTTTTCGATTACTCGATTTCTCGATTTTTTTATTTTTCGACTTAAAAACCAAAAAAGAGGGAGTTTTATTTATTTTCATTTCGTAACTGGTGACATAATCAACTTTTCGTAATCATAAATCGAAATTTACACATAAAGTAGATCGTTTTGACACTTGCAAAATATATTACTTTATGTGTCAAAATTAGAGAAAATAGCAAAATGTAAATTAAATGGATAGATCCCATATTATTATAGAGCAGTGTTTCTCAAACTTTTTTGACGACGGAACCTTTTTGAAAAGCGAAATATTTGACGGAGCCCTAAACACATAAAACAATTAAAAAAATATTTTTCAAATTTTTCTTCATTTTGACACTCATTTTGACATTCAATAGGTAAACGTGATAAAAAATCGGCTTTATAGTATGCTCCGATTTCACATATCCAATTTTATAATTTTAATTTGACAATATTACTGCCCATCTATGTAGTCTGTTGGCTGAAAATTGGAGTATACCTTTATCTGGGTTAAAAATAGTTACCAGAAGTAAGTGATCTGTAACTAGGATAAAGAAATGTCGTTATAAATATTCTTTAAATTTATTTAAGCCAAAAATTATTGCAAGGTCCTCTCTTTCAATTTGGGAATATTTTTGTTCGGACTTTGATAAGGTACGCGAAACAGAAGCTATAGATTTCATGGCCCTTATTCCCACATTTGATGCATCTACGATTAATTTAATCGGCAACTCAGGCTGAAAATGAACATTTGTTGTTAATTTATTTTTGATTAATTCCAAAGATTCTGTGGTAAATCTACTTTATAAATATGTTTTGTTTTATTTACTTTTCTACTCTCTTTAACTCATTTTCTCCATCTCTCTCTAATTGTATGAAACCTTTAATCATATTTATGCTAAACGCAGAGAATTCAAAGTACTGTTTTTTTTTCTAGAAGAAACCGCTTTTTTGTCACTATTATGTGTGTATGTGTGCGTGCGTGCGTGAGTGAGTGAGTGAGTGTGTGTGTGTGTGTGTGTGTGTGTGTGTGTGTGTGTGTGTGTGTGTGTGTGTGGGTGCGTGCGTGCGTGTGTGTGTGTGTGTGTGTGTGTGTGTGTGTGTGTGTGTGTGTGTGTGTGTGTGTGTGTGTGTGTGTGTGTGTGTGTGTGTGTGTGAGTGTGTGTGTGTGTGTGTGTGTGTGTGTATGTGTGTATGTGTGTATGTGTGTGTGTGTGTGTGTGTGTATGTGTGTATGTGTATGTGTGTGTGTGTGTGTGTATGTGTGTGTGTGTGTGTGTGTGTGTGTGTGTGTGTGCGTGTGTGTGTGTGTGTGTGTGTGTGTGTGTGTGTGTGTGTGTGTGTGTGTGTGTGTGTGTGTGTGTGTGTGTGTGTGTGTGTGTGTATGTGTGTGTGTCTCTATCCACCATAACTCATGAACCGATACAAAGAAAAACATTAAATTTTAAACTTAAGCTTTACTATAGCTTGCGGTGAACTGATTAGATTTTGGGCAGAGTCGGAACATTTGAGGGGGTACTTTATTGGTGGTCATTTTTATATTTTATGAAATATATCCGTTATTTACGTTTGGAAAAGAAAATTCTTCAAATAAAAGTTACTTATAATATTATAATCTATAATTTTTGTTTTATACAAAATTTTCCTAAAATGGTCCGTATTCGAGAAATTTGATAAAATGTAAAAAAATTATTTTTTTATGAAAATTGTTTAAATAAAAGTTGTTTGTAATATAATTGACTATAATTTTTATTCCTTACATAATTTCTCTAAAATGAACCGTATTCAAAATATTTGAGAAAATGTGTAAATTTCGAATTTTGAGGAAAACTCAAAAACGGATAAAGGAAAAAATATTAAATTTTAAACTTAAGTTTTATTTCGGCCTGAGGTGAAATGATTAAATTTTGGACGAAGGCGGAACATTTGGGGGGGTACTTTATGGGAGGCTGTTTTTATATTTTATGGAATATATCTGATACTGATGTTTGGAGAAGAAAATTGTTCAGATAAAAATTACTAACAATATTATTTATCTATAATTTTGGTTGTATACAATTTTTTTTAAAATGGTCCGTATTCGAGAAATTTGACAAAATGTAATAAAATTCAAATTTTTAGGAAAATTATTTAAATAAAAGTTATTTGTGATATCGATCTCTATAATTTTTGTTTTTTATATAATTTTTCTAAAATGGACCGTATAGGAAAAATTGAAGTAAAAATGCTAAATTTAAATATTTCAGTATTTTCGTTTTCAATGAATATCTATAGAAAAATGTTTTGAGTTAGATGTATGTGGAAAATGTATATATTTAGTTTATTCTCTAAACATTTATAGAGGTGCTGCAATAGGTTGTACAAAATAACCGGAAAAAGCCTATAATAACTAGATAGTTGGACACATCAGATTTTTATTATAAATAAAGCTTTTAATAACACATCCTGGCATTTTCAACGTTAATTTTCAAAATTTTAGTCACTAAAATACCAAATTAATTCTCGTTGACACATTAAATTTTGATGGACAACGCTCTGACATGTCATGTTCTCAACTGTGATTGGTGGGTGTGAATAATTTCGAAATGGGATTATGCGCAGTGTCTTATGTTCCATCTAAGGTTTATATAATCTAAGATTAAAAATTAAGTTTAAATA